GACCCAATCCCGGGACTCCAGGATCATGACCTGAGCCGAAGGCAGTCGCTTAACCAACTGAGTCACCCAGGCGGCCCTGGACAGTAGTATTTTTTAATAAGCTTCCAGGGTGGTTCTAATGGGCAGCCAGAGCGTTATTAGAGCAAACAGGATTAAAGAGATCGACAAAGAATGTCGACAATAGTAATGAAAAATAATAATAATGGTGGCTAGCAGATACTTATTGAGCACTTACCATGTGCCAAGTGCTGTTCTAAGTGCTGAGTGTGGGTTTTCGGCGCACCTCTGGGCCGGGGACTGTTGTTATTACCTGATGTTCAGGAATGTCAAGCGACTTGGATCCCGGGTCACACAGATAGGAAGGAGTCGGGGCGGGATTTGAACCCAGGCAGCTGGGTCCCAGAATTGCACTCCAAATAGCAGCTTAGAGGGCTGGGGTCTCACCGCCTTGGTGCTGACCCCCCAACAAAACTCTTTAAAGACCTAACGAACACCCTCAAAGGAAAAGTGCTGGTTTTATATTAAAAAAAAAGACAAAACTTTAATGGGAGTAATAAAAGAAAATTTAACTCAATGATGAGATACATCCAAATATAAAAATAAACAGAGTGGCCGCAATATCCACCCGTAAGCTCAAAATATTTTTATGAAGTCTGACTCCCGTTTGGGAAGGAGGAGACCAAAGCTGGGAGGGCCAGTGGCTGGCTCAGGACCCCTCAGCTTGAGGCGGCAGTTGTGGGATTGGAACTGAGGGCTGTGTGACTCCGGATGGGGTTGGCAATGTTCTCCAGGCCGCACTGGCCCCTGCTGAGTCCTCGCTCACTTTTGCAAACCCTGGGAAAGAGGCCTTGGCCCAAGCCACTCCCCTGGATCTCACAAATGGAAGCGAGATGGAAGATTCCAGAAGACTAGACGGGAAGCTAATTGGGCCTTAATAATAACCATTAACACTCAGTGAGTGCCTGCTTTCTCTGTCGGGTGCTGTTCTAAACTTTCCGATGTGATCTTGCTGACCCCGTCCCTCCACACACAGCTACCAGGTAGGAATGATTATCACCTATTCCCTCACCTCGGAGAGGGGAAGCCATCGGCCCTGTGGTAGTTAACAGCTAACGTATTAAGCACGCGCAGTGTTCCAGGGCCCTTGCCGTGCCCCATACGTGCAAGACGAACCTGTGGATGGTTCCCAACCACCCTATGTGGAAGTGCTGTTCCTGACCCCGTTTGATGAGAAAGTAAGATCCAGAAAGCTCAGGGTGCTTGCTCCAGCTGCCTTCCAGAAGGTGCTAGAGGTGTGATCAAGCTCCACCCTGCTTGTCTTCGGGCCGTGCTTCATAGATACTTGTTTGGCTGGCTGACTGGTGATGGGGAAGACAGCGTTGATCAGTGGGTATGGTGTCCAGGCCTCCAGAAACCCAGTTTCTGCCACTAATACGTTCTTTGGCCTGGAGTCCCGAGGGTCTGGATGCTTTGGGCAGGAAGGGAACCCGTCTGTTGAGCACACACCATGCTCACAATCTTTCTAGGTGGTCAGGGTTAAAAGCCCATTTTCCGGGGCTGGGGACTGAGGCTCAGGAGGGCAAATCCCTTGTGCGAGTCACACACAACTGGAAACTCAGGATGACACGGCTTCGAAGTCTGAGCGAGCTCTTAGCTCCCAGGTGGGATGGGTAACAGGAGAGTCTTGGGACCCACAGCTGGAGTGCCTTTTATGGGCCCCGCCTTGGGCTGGCTGGTTTTTATTCATTATCTCCCTTAATCCCCACAGCCTCTGTAATGAGGTGGGGAGGAAACCGAGACTGGAGAGAGTCACTGGGCTGGACGGCTTCAGAGCCCCGGGGGATGGGCAGCTGCATCAGACCCTTCCAACTGGGTGTCCCCCGCTCTGCCCCCTCGACTCAGGTGTCCCTAACCCTCTCTACACGCACAGCCTCTGCCCTTTGCTCCCTGGCCTTGGCAGCCAGCTCAGGTTGCCATGGGGGGCGGGGGGTGTCGTCCTGGCAACAAGGTGTGGCTGGCAGGAAGGGGCTGAGGTGGGAGGGTGGCATGGGGAGTGGGTTCCTCCGCCAGGCAGGAGTGGGGGCCGGGGCGCCAGCAGCCATGAGATACCCTCCCAGGGAATGTGGTCCGGCTGCCCCGCCCTCTGCCAGGGGAGCTCCGGGAGCAGCTCTTTAAGGCAGCGAGGGCAGACACCCAGCAAACCGGTTGTTCGGCTCTCGGCTGGCCACCCACCCTCCCACCGTTAAAGGGTTGGCACCTGGGAGCGGGGCAGCCCGTGGTGGCCACACCCTGCTCAGCTTGAGAAGCGCAAGCTGTCTGGGGAGCTTAAAGCAATCCTACTACTAACCCACTAAGGAGCTGGCCCGCTGACCGAATAGCTAAGTGGTTTAATCGTTAATCAGCGAGGCCACTAAGCACCTACCTCTCCGGCTCATTTCGAGAGCCAATTCCGGCTAGCATATCCAGTGAGGTCTCTGGGTTGGTTTAGGCTCTCTAGCAAGCCTCTCTATGGCTGGAGTGCCTCTGTTGTCAGCTGAACCCCGGGCCCATCGGGGGTCAGCACGAATTCAGGGAGTCCGTGAACTTGGATGCAAGAAAAATTGCATCTTCATTTTCACGTACCTCGATCCTGAACTTTAGCATTTCCTCCCGTAAGCGTGTAAGCCCACCCGTGAGTCTGTTTTCAGTAGAAACCACAGACTTGGTACTGTCACGTTTCAGTGGCAGATACTGTGATACCTTCTGAGGATGTATGTTCAAACAAATACATACAAATCTAACTCTTCCTCTTCTTTCAATGCAAACAGTCCTCACCTTGTGTTCTTTCTTCGATAATGCTTTGGAGATAATTCCATATCCGTACACAAGTATTACAGCGATCCGTTTTAAGAACATACATGCAGGTCATTTCCAGACTTCTGCCATTGTAAAGAGTGCTGCAGCAGATGAGCTCGCACATGGTCATTTTATGTGTGTGCGAATCCAGGTGGTAGTGGCCTGTGACCCAAGTCTGGCTGGCTGCAAAGGCCACATTCTCTCTCAGGGTGAATCCTAATCCATACAGCACCTTTGTGCAGTATGGAAAGATACTCTTCCACCTTCAGCCTGAAAGTCTTTGTCACAAATGGTCAAATCTACATTGTCATGATCTGAATGGCAGCCCCTTTGATGGCCATCCTTGTGCAGTGCACAACCTGCCCAGCTGTACATGGCAGTCCATGCTGCCCTCTGGGCCTCAGAGGCAGCTGAGGCCCTTTCCTTTCTTGCCCACTGCAGACGTACTCTGGCCTTTTCTGTGTGGTCATCAATCCATACAAGCAGCTTCCCATCTATACGGAGGCCATTGTGGAGATGTACCGGGGCAAGAAACGCCATGAAGTGCCACCCCACGTGTATGCGGTGACAGAGGGGGCCTACCGAAGCATGCTCCAGGGTGAGTATGGGGCTGGGAGTGCTGGACATGTCTCTTCAAGGTGTGGGGGGGCTATTCTGGGAGTCAGGATAAGATGACAGATCAAGAATTTCAGACTTTGAGGCTTCTTCATGGGGTAGGAGGAAGCACAAGTGGAGGGCTGAGTGGACGAGTTCTGGATCCTACCAGACAGGCCCCTTTTTATTTGTCTCTATGCTCACCCCTTCTCTCAACAGTATCGTCTGGGAGCCAACTGATGCCAGGCTTCTGCAAAATTTTCTCTTGAGACAGTGATTCTTAGTGTTCACTCAACATTTATGTTGTTACATGATCCACGTTGTCACGGAATTAATGTCAGTCCCTTGGATGGTGGACAGTGTGGGGTCACCGTGTACAGTTGGGCAGGTTGTACAAGGATGTCCAGGCAAAATGACATAATTCGCATGTACTATACATAATGTAATCATAAATTATTACATACCTATTTTATTTATTTATTTTTTTAAAGATTTTATTTATTTATTTGAGAGAGAGAGAGAATGAGAGAGAGCACATGAGAGGGGGGAGGGGCAGAGGGAGAAGCAGACTCCCCGCCAAGCAGGGAGCCCGATGCGGGACTCGATCCCTGGACTCCAGGATCATGACCTGAGCCGAAGGCAGTCGCTTAACCAACTGAGCCACCCAGGCGCCCTTACATACCTATTTTAATATTTGGCTTATATTGAATGCATATTAAATATTTAAAAATTTGTCTTACTATCTTGACATATGATGGTATGCGGCAATATATTTATATGGCATGTATTATACTTACATCACATATCATATGCTATAGTTCTGTTGTGGGTTATAATGATGCATTTATAATGCATACTGCGGTGGTTCTCAGAGTGTGGTGAGCATCAGCGTCACCTGGAAACTTGTCAGAAATGCAAACTTGGGCCCCACTCCAGACCTGCTAAGTCCGAGAAACTCTGGGAGCTTCACAAGATCCCTGGGCTCCCTCTGGGGATCCTGACACTGGCGCCAAGTTTGAGAACCACTGGTATAATATCCAATATATCAAATACCTGCATTACGCAGTAGAACACGTTTATAGGCAACGTTTTTGTACTCACCTTATAAATTTCTATTTGATCGTTGGTGACACTTCTTTCCTTTGGTTATATGATCTGATTTGTTATGTATTTATTTCTATAATACTTTTTAGCCATTATTATATATTGGTCATTATACCTTAGGGATAAATAAATAAATAAATAAATAGACGAACAATAAAGCAGGGGTGAGTAGCTACTTTGTGCCGAGCACTTTTCATGGATTGACCTGTTTAACCTCATACTGAGCAACCCCATAAAGTAAGTGTGCTCATTATCCCTGGTTTCCAGCTGGGGAAACTGAGGCACAGAGCACGCCGTCATTGCCTACAGTCCCAGTGGTGGGTGGGTGGCTGAGATGGGTCTTGGACCCAGGGCTCCCAACCTCTGCCTCCCCGTATGTAGGTCACACTGTGTGTCACATCCTCACCCTGGGCTGGGTGTTGTGGGTTCTGCTGTGTGACTCAGCTCGTTCTCATACCCCACCCAACTCAGCCTCTTGCTTCCTGTGTGACCCTAGCAGACAGCTGTCCCTGAGTCTCTTTCCTCACCTGTAAAATGGAGACAATATAAACCTCAGCTGAACAGAATACGATTCATTCAACCAACTACAATTTGAGCCCCTACCATGTGTGCCACTTTGTGCTGGGCGTGAGAGGTTCAAAGACACAAGAGCGAGATCCCGGACGCCAGGGTTCAGCCCCTGATAGAAAACAGGCCACAAAACAGCATTAGGTACTAACTAGTATATAAAACCTTTTTCGGACATTCTCTCCGAGTTCTGACTACAGCCCTGTGAGGTAAGGGCTGTTTGAGCCCTGTTTCTGAGATGGGGAAACTGAGGCACAGAGCATCTCAGAGACTGGCCCAAGGTGACACAGCAAGGCAGAGGGGAGGCTGGGTCTTGAACCCACACCCATATGGCTTCCAAACCAGGCTGAATGCAGCTCTCCCTTTGGCTTAAAACCACCTACCTGGAGACCTCCTGCCCCATTTAAAAACTATCTTGATTTTTTAAAAAGATTTATTTATTTATTTGAGGGGGGAGGGGGAAGGGCAGAGGGAGAGAGAGAATCTCAAGCAGACTCGCTGCTGAGCCTGGAGCCCGACATGGGGCTCGATTTCACAACCCTGAATTCATGACATGAGCCGAAATCAAGAATCGCACGCTTAACCAACTGAGCCACCTATGTGCCCCCAAAACTGTCCAGATCTTTTAATCATGACCTCCAAACCTGTCTGCACAATCTCCAGCTCTGCCCTGTCCCCCAGCTTCTCTGGCCTCCTTTCTGTCTCTCAGACATCTCCAACTTGGTCTCACCACAGGGCCTTTGCACTGGCTGTGTCCTCTGCCTGGAACGCTCTTTCTCTACTTCCTCATCCTTTAAGGCTGAGCTGAAACATCACCCCTTCTGGGAAGCCTTCCTGGCCCTCCACCCCTCAGTCTTCTTGTTACGTTACACCAGGGCTTCTTAATCCTGGCTCTATTGGCATTTGGGGCTGGAGGATTCTTTATACAGGGCATCCCATGCATTGTAGGATGTTCAGCAGCATTCCTGAGCTCTACTCAGTAGACCCTTGTAGGACCTTCTGGTTGCAACAACCAAACCGAAAATATCTGCAGACACTGCCAACGGTCCAATCATCTTCGGTTTTACTTTATGTGCTTTTTGTCCCCCAACTCAAGCAGAAGCTCCGTGAAGGCAGGGGCTTTGCCAGTTCCCATCGTTGTAGGTGCCCGGTGCTTAGTAGGTAATCAGTCATATCAGACGCAGGGTGAGCACTGGGGGAGACGGAACCACGCTGTGCTCTCTGCTCGGCAGAGATCCACCCACAGGCCACCAGTCACCATCACTCCTGTATTGTGACCTGCTTTATGCCAACGGCTGAGCCTTGGGGGCCCGGACCTTGCTCTCCTGTCTTTGCATCCCACACACCCAGCATGAGGTGGAGCACGGGAGGGGCTCGAATCGAAGTTTGTTGAATGCATTACATTCTGTTCAGTTGGAGTTTTTCCACTCCATTTTACAGGTGAGGAAACAGGCTGAGAGAGGGACAGCTGCTTTGCTAGCATCACACAGCAAGCAAGAAGCTGGGGTGGGGTGGGGTGTTAGAATCCAAGAATGTCACCCATCAAAACTCTTTTGCGGGGAGGGGCGCCTGGGTGACTCAGTCGGTTAAGCGGCTGCCTTCGGCTCAAGTCATGATCTCGGGGTCCTGGGATCGAGTCCCGTGTTGGGCTCCCTGCCCAGCAGGGGAGTCTGCTTCTCCCTTTCCCTCTGTCCCACCCCCCCGCTCATGCTCTCTCTCAAATAAGTAGACAAAATCTTAAAAAAAAAAAAAAAACCCTTTTGGGGGGCAAAAGACTGCCTTACCCCTTTGAAGAGGGTATGGCATAAGAGGTCAGGGTCCCACTCCAGAGACCCTCCAGGTGACATCTCGACCTCTGTCCCTTACAGATCGTGAAGATCAGTCCATTCTCTGCACGTGAGTAATCCTGAAGGACTTCCTGGAGGAGGCAGGGTCCTAGCTGGGTGTGGCTCTGCTTGGAATGGGCAGGTCTTACCTGGCATCATTGTCAACCCCTTTTGCTCTCCCCCTTTTGCCCGCCATAGCGGGGAATCTGGGGCTGGGAAGACAGAAAACACCAAGAAGGTCATCCAGTATCTCGCCCACGTGGCATCGTCACCAAAGGGCAGGAAGGAGCCAGGCGTACCGGTGAGTGCCCTGCCTCGGGACGTGCTCTGGACCCTGCCACCTGCAATGCCCCCTCCATCTGAGGCCCTGCTTTTCCCCATAACCCCCTCTCTCCCTTACGGAGGGCCATAATTGTGAGCCTTCTCTTGGCTGCCCCTGCCGCCTGCACACCCACTGTGTGCCCGAGACAGTGCTAGGAGTAGAGGTAGGACGGAAACGGAAAATCGAGGGCCAGCTCGTGGCTTCATTAGCCCTCAGAACAGCACCCGGCACACAGTAGGTGCTTATAGTTTTGAGCACCTACTGTGTGCTAGGCCTGAGGTAAGGACCTACGATTCCCAGTTTGCTTCACCAGTGAGCATCTATATACTACCAATCTCTCTGCTTACATGAACTCAGCACTCCAGTGTGTGGGTGTTGCTCTCATGTGTTAAAGATGAGAAACGGCAGGCACGGCTGGGGTGAGTCCGCTGTTGGAGGTCACACACCCAGGAAGGGCTAGAGGGGATTCAAACCCAGGCGATGTGGTTCCCCCAGGCCACCCTACTCCACATGCCCAATTTCCCCGGCCCCTCGTGTCTCCCCACCCTGCCCACCACCCAAGACCGCCGGTTCACCTGTGTGTCTGTCCACGTTCCATGTGCCGCGTCCTGGTCTGTGTTCCCGGTCCGTGTCTCGTGTCCCGTGACTTCCTCAGGCTGCCAGCACCTTGTCTTATGTGAGTAGCAGGGAATCACCTCGAATCATGCCACCCCTCACACCACCCGGGTCAGCCCAACCCACGGTGTCCCCGGCAGACAGGCCTCGGGGCACTTTATCTCCAGCTCTGCCCTGTCCCCCAGCTTCTCTGGCTTCCTTTCTGTCTCTCAGACATCTCCAACTTGGTCTCACCACAGGGCCTTTGCACTGGCCGCCGGGGAGCCACGCCGCTGCTTATGGTGGTCCCACTGTGTGCATGCCAGGCCCCGTGCTGTCATTTAATGCCACCCTAGTGTGGAGCTCCCTGCTATTGCACGCGGGGCTCCCCGCTGTTGTTTCTGGCAGCTGTATGCGTGCACACGTCCAGAGCCCATGTTGCCACTTAGCGCAGTCCTGCTGTGTGTGTGCCCACTGGCCACAGACACCAAGATGAAACTGTGAGACCGAATTGTCATTTACTGCTGACTTGCTGAGTGTGTGTAGATAGGACCCACAGACACATGGATTCGCACGGCCCAGAGACCAACAGCGCCGTTATTGCAGGCCGCCTGCGTACACCCAGCTCATGCTAGTGTCCGAGGGCTCACAGGAATTGATTTTTTTTTTTTTAAGATTTTATTTATTTGAGAGAGAGACAGAGAGAGAGCATGAGCGGGGACGGGAGGCAGAGGGAGCCCGATGCGGGGCTCCATCCCAGGACCCCGGGATCATGACCTGAGCCGAAGGCAGCCGCTTAACGACTGAGCTGCCCAGGCGCCCCTGGCTCACAGAAACTTAAAGAAATAGTTGATGCCCTCGAGAACCTCACTAGGAGGGGAGGGGGGTTGCTGTTAACTGAGCACCTACTGTGCTCCTGGCTCTGACACTGAGGTGGCTGGAGGGAAGTTCAGAGTAGGATCCCTTCCCTGGAGCCACGTGGTGGGGGAAGGAAGCTTCCATCTCTGGAATGCCTACTATGTGCCAGACAGTTTGAAGCACGTTATATGAACGGTATAGATTTTTTTTTTCTTAATTAATCCTGCAAGTAATCCGTGAGTCCGTGTGTTTTACAACAGAAAAAGACAAAATGAAATTCCGCTTTTGTCCTCTCCGTGCCCCTTCCCTGGAGTGGCGTACCCTGTGGACAGTTTGGTGTGTATCCTCGTAGACCTTTCTCTAAATGCTTACAAACATGGGTCTATACCTGGAGAAGTGGGAGTCTTGTTTTGTGGTGTTTTTTTCTCTATTTTTTACTAATGGGATCACATTGTAGATATTGCTCTGCAGCAGGTTTTTGTTATGTTTTGGTTGCTTCCATTCTACAGAGTATCTCAGAGATGTTTCCTTGTTCCCTTCACAGTAAACTGAAGGGCAAGACCTGGGTGTGGGAGAGCAGGCCCACACGCAGACACACGGAGGCCCCTTACACACACACACCCAGCTGGTTATAGCACAGACCCCCGCCCCGGCCCGCTTGTCACTGATGGGCTCTCTCCCATGCCCTGTAGGGTGAGCTGGAACGGCAGCTTCTCCAGGCCAACCCCATCCTGGAGGCCTTTGGCAATGCCAAGACCGTGAAGAATGACAACTCCTCCCGATTTGTGAGTGCTGGGGGAGAGCAGAGTCTGGCTGCTGGGAGCTGGGAGCTTTGGGGGTGGTTAAGGGGAAGCAAGAAGTGGGGGCTGACTGAGGGAGGAGGGGCCTGGGGGCCTGGACTCCTGGGTCCGAGGGAAGAGGGACTGGGGGTCTGGGTTCCTGGGTCTGAGGGAGGAGGGGGCTGGGGGCCTGGACTCCTGTCTGAGGGAGGAGGGGCTGGGGGTCTGGACTCCTGGGTCTGAGGGAGGAGGGG